GGAGGTCTAAGGTTTTAGAGTAGATTTGTAGCTCGGATTGTGGATGTTGTGATGCCTAGTGGTCATAGGAGTCTTGTGGTCAGTTCAGATGTGTTGCTGGTGTAAGGTAGCGTGATGAACGTGTTGGGGCATGTAGTGTCTTCCTGGTGTCGTTTATGTAATAGGCATCTTCTGACCCAGTTTTTTGGATATCCATTGCCTTTGAATACCTGGAAGAGGTAATCATCTTCTTCTCAGCGCAGTTCTGTTTTGCTGCAGTGTGTTGTTGCCCGTTTAAATAATGTTCTCACGCAACTTCGTTTGTGTGTGTTAGGGTGGTTGCTGTTGAAATTCAGTACTTGGTCAGTGTGTGTGGCTTTCCTGTGTACCTTTGTTAGGAATTCCCCATTGGTCCTGTGTTCCACCGTGATGTCCAGGAATGGGAGCTGCTTGTTCATTTCCTCCTCCCTAGTGGATCTGATCCCAGCGAGAGTGTTTATTGGTTTGTGTCTCCTCTAGTTTGGTCCATTTAATAATGACGAAGGTGTCATCCATGTATCGTATCCATAGTTTCGGATGGATTAGGAGAAGGGGCATGTTTTCAAGTCTCTGCATCACCGCCTCGGCTATTAGTCCGGAGATAGGTGATCCCATGGGTATCCCGTTGATCTGTTCATATATTTGGCCATTAAAGGTGAAGTGGATGGTGAAGCATAGGTCCAATAGCTTCAGCATGTTGTCTGTGGAAATGGTGTCATTCGGGTCTTGTTCTTTTTTTAGTAGTGTTGTCAGTGTTTCTCTTGCTGGTGGTGTACCTATGGATGTGAATAGGGCAGTAACATCAAATGATACCATGGTCTCGTCATCATCTATTCTTATGTCCTTGATGGAATTGAGGAACTTTGGATGGAGTGGGGTGACTTGCTGATGAGATGCTTTAGTCTCCTTTGTAACTCTTTGGCTAATCTATGTGATGGCGTGCCTGGCAGGGAGACTGTGGGCCTGAGGGGTATTTCTGGTTTGTGTACGGAGGCCGTAGAATTGGGGGGTGTTAGTTCCTTCAGGTTTCATTCTTAGGTAGTCTGTTTTGTTGAATTGTCCGGTCTGTTTGAGTCTCTTTAGTGTGTTGAGAATCTTGATGCCCAATTGTGGTGTCTGGTCTATCTGCACTTGCCGGTATGTGTTCTCATCGGCTAGTAGCGTTTGTGCCTTGGAGAGGTAGTCTCCAGGAATGTACGGATACTGGAGCCTAATGTGTGTATTGCAAGACCCCTCTATAGATTCATCCAGAGTTTACTTAACAACTTATAGAACTCATAGAATCTTACAGCATAAAAGGTTGCTACAAAAGCTAACAATAGTGTGTTGGAGATCGTGTTTAAGCATGAATAGTGGATTGGCTAACTAACAGGAAGCTGTTATATAGAGTCATACGGCATGGAAACAGACCCTTCGGTCCAACCAGTCCATGCTGAACATAATCCCAAACTAAACTAGTCCCACCTGCCAGCTCTGGCCCATATTCCCCAAACCTTTCCTATTAATGTACTTATCTAAGTGCCTTTTAAATGTAGTAATTGTGCCCGCTTCCACCACTTCCTCAGGAAGTTCATTCCACCCACAAACTATACTCTGTGTAAAAAATTTGCCCCAATGTCTTCTTTAAATTGTTCTCCTCTCACCTTAAAAATATGTCCCCTTGCCTTGAAAACCCCATCCTAGGGAAAAGACACCTACCATTAACCCTATCTATGCCCCCATTGTTTTATAAACCTCGATTAGGCAACCTCTCAACCTCCTATGCTTCAATGAGCAAAGTCCCAGCCTTTCTTTATAACTCAAATCCTCCATACCTGGCAACATCCTGGTAAATGTCTTCCAAACCCTCCCTAGCTGAATAATATCCTTCCTATAACAGGGTGACCAGAACTGGACACAGTAGTCCAGAAGAGGCCTCACGAATGTCCTATACAACCTCAACATGACGTCCCAACTCCTATATTCAAAGGACTGAGCAATGAAGGCAGACGTGCTAAGTGCCTTTTTAACCACCCTGTCTATATGTGACGCAAACTTCAAAGAATTATGTACCTGCACCCCTAGGTCCCTCTGTTCTACAATACTACCCAAAGCCCTATTGTTAATTGTATAAACCCTACCCATGTTGTTCAAAATGCAATACCTCGCGTTCACCCAGATTGAACTCCATCTGCCATTTTCCAGCCCATTGACCCATCCTTCTGTAATCTGAGAAAACGTTCTTCACTGTCTACTATGCCACCAATTCTGGTGTTGTCTGCAGACTTGCTAACCACACCTTCTATATTCTCCTCCAAATTATTTACATAAATGACAAAGAAAAGTGGGCCTGGCACCAATCCTTATGGAGTCGGGATAAGTGAGTCATTTTCAACTTGGCAGACCGTAACTAGTGGAGTGCTACAAGGATCAGTGCTGGGACGCCATTGTTTACAAAATGTGGCAATGACTTGGATGAGAGAGCTGCCTCTTTTGAGGCCATACTCACTGATAATAGAGGATAGGTAAGAGAGCAAGTGTGATGAGGTTACAAAATGTCTGAAAAAGGATGTGGATAGGTCATGCAAGTTGGCAAAAGCTCTTGGATGCAATGTTATAAGACTGTAAGAAATAGGAACAGGAGTCGGCCATTCGGCCCTTCATGCCTGCTCTGCCATTCAATAGGATCATGGGCTGTTCTGATATTCCTCGCATCCACTTTCCTGCCTTTTCCCCATAATCCTCGATTCCCCTATCGGCGTGTACAAATGTGTGGTTTGTCAGGAAGAATACAAGAGCAGAATATAATTTAGATGGAGTGAGACTGTGGAATGCTGCACTACAGAGGGATCTGGGTGACCTCACACATGACTCTCAAAAAGTTAGAATATATGTACAGCAAGTAATTAGGAAGGCAAGTGGAATGTAACATTTATCACAAGGCGGTATTATAAACTAAGGAAGTATGCACATATTATTCCGGAGGTTTTAGACTGGATTCTTTAAGCAATGATCTCATCCATACACGCTCCATCATCATGAGGCAGTGAGCTGCATTGTAGGAATGTGACCTATGCCTACCGAGATGGAAGTGAAATATCCTACCCCACCATCATGAAGGAGATCTCCTCTGGCATCCTGTTCAACCATTTATCCCTCAACAAACATGGCACAAAGCAGATTATTGCCATTTGTGAGAATTTGCAGTGAACAAATTTGCAAATGCATTTCCTCTACCTGTTATTCGGAAGGATATTATGCTGGAGAGGGTTCAGAAGAGATTTACCAGAATGTTTCTGTGAATGGAGGATTTGAGTTATGAGGAGAGGCCAGATAAGCTGGGACTTTTTCCATTGGAACACAGGAGGTTGAGGGGTGAACTTATAGAGGTTTATAAAATCATGAGGGATATAGGGAAGGTGAATGGCAGGTATTTTTTTTTCCCTATGGTGGGGAAGTTCAAGACCATGGGACATATTTTTAAGGTGAGAGGAGATAGATTTAAAAAAAACATGAGGGGCAATTTCTTTTTTTACACAGTGGTTCATGTGTGGAATGAACATCCAGAGGAAGTGGTGGATGTGGGTACAGTTACAACATTTAAAAGACATTTGGATAAGTACATGAATAAGAAATGTTTGGAGGGATATGGGCCAAACGCTGGCAGGTGGGACTGGGTTAGTTTGGGATTATGGTCGGTGTGGACTGGTTGGACCAAAGGATCTGTTTCAGTGCTGTATGACTCTATAAAACCAAGATGTTTTCCTTTTAACTGTACAGGGCATTGGTGAAACTACACCTGGAATACTATAAATAGTTCCACCTCCTTACTTAAAAGGCACTAACGGCTTTGGTGGTGGCGTTAAATGAAGTATAGTGACAGGTGGCTCATGTGGAACACTAACACGGAATGGTATGTGTATGTGATGTAAACTCTGTGCAATCCCAAGGTGGGTAGACATTACCAATTGGTTTTAGTCAGTTTCATGGGATGGTTAAGTCCACCTGAGAGGGCAGACAGGATCTCTGTTTGATGTTTGAACGTTTATACCACCAACTGTCTAACACACAGTCAGTACTGCGTGAAATTAACATCACATGGATTCTGTATTCAAGCCACTACAACCTCGGACTCTGAGGTAAGAGGGCTCCGACGTTCACCACTGTGGGTTTGAAATGTACGGGTGGATGTCTGGGTCTACATGCTGTCTGTGTTAGTATCACTAATGTGTGAATAGTAGGTTAATTATATTGTTAAGATACATGGGTGAGGGGCATTGCTTAATCCACTATTTAGAGCACTTTAGAAGAGAGATTGCTGGAATATGGATGGTGAGCAGGGAGCAGAAATGGGTAACGCTGCATTCTGTAAGTGAACCGATTGTCAATTCAGCTCTGATGAAGAGTCATCTAGGCTCGATGTTAGCTTGTTCTCTCTCCATGGATGCTGTCTGACGCACTATGATCACCAGCATTTGTTGTTTTCAATTGTCAGGAAAGTTGTCAGTATTTGGTTTGACATTTCACCAGTGGACTTGGAATTGGAGTAATCTAACAGTTTTGAAACCGTTGTTGAGGCTGTGATATAATGCGAAGAGTTGCAATAGATAATACATGATATCCAAAAATGAGGAACCGAAGTTAAAAGGTAGAGTGAGAATGCAGGAAATATTTCTCTCTCTCTCTTGCGCTCTCGCCGTCTGGGATATCTCTGAAGATATGTAGTAGGATGTATTTCATTCTCATGCTTTCGCTCTCTCTCTTGCTGGCTCGCACTCTCGCTCTCGCTCGCTTTCACCTTTTCTCTTTCTCTTCCCCCTTCTCTTTC